ACCTGTGAAAGTGGACTTATCTGGAAATACAATCTTTGCAGATGGAATTAAGTTAAAGATTTTTTGATGAAACCATCTGGATTTTTAGGGTGGGCGCTAAAGTCAGAGACTGGTGCTAAAAAAAAAAAAAAAAAAAAAGGCAGGAGAGGTGAGACACAGACACTCAGGAGAAAAGTCCACATAAAGACAGAGATTAAAGTGTCTGCAAGCCGAGGAGTGTGCAGGAGTGCCGGCAGCCACCAGAAGCGAGAAGAGGCATGGAACAGGTTCCCCGCCCCTAGCCCCCGAAGGAAACCACTGCTGCCAACACCTTGCTCTTGAACTTCTGGCCTCCTGAACTGTGAGAATAACCTTCTCTTGTTTAATGCAAACCACCCAGTTTGTAGGAATTTGTGACAGCAGCTCCAGGACACAGTATCACCTCTCATTGAGCAAACCCTAATCCTCCAGGGGCCGGAGGCACTTACTTCAATGTAAGCAAAGTCGTTCCAAAGGTGGAAGAAGTGCTGCTTGGAACTCTCCATCTTCACCTCCAAGAAATGGTCCTTTGTTTTCTGGAAAACACATAGAACCCAATGCAATTGTTAGGTTTGGGTGGTCATTCCCCAACTCTTCCTGTATCCCCAGTCGCAGGAAATGGTTTGTGGAGCTGAGTGAGGGACCTAATTGGGTCTGGGCCTAACTGGACGGCAAAGGGGTCCAGACTTGCTGTCAGCCACTCACCAGCTGAGAACCAAGGAGCTTCTTGGGCATTGGCACGTCCACGACAGCCCTCTCGGTGAACTTGGGGTAGGCTGTGGCTGTGCAGTCACTGACGCCTGCGTTCTTTGGGATCAGAGCTTTAATCTTTATCCTCTCACAGCCTTTCATGGAGCAGAAAGCAAACTTCTCTCTCTCGTTCTGAGCTTTCAGCTTCAGGAACAACAGCCTGCACACAAGGAGCATTGCTGGGCATTTGCTTGGGCACTCAAACCTCCCCCTTCTCCTCTCACCCACCGAGATATTTACTCTGAACTGGTCACAGCAGGTTGACCCAGCGGCCTTATAGAATGGAACCATGTCTATCACAGAGTTGTATGTAGTTGGAGAAATAAGGAACAAATGCATTGAAGAAAAAGCTAATGAGAATGGCAGTTCTATTCTGAGCACGTTTTATGTGCCATGCCGTGCACACATAGTAAATCAACATATCTCATTTAATCCTCAAACAATCCTGTCCAGTAGGTACTATTATCATCCTGAATTCCTGGATGGGAAAATGGTGGCTCGGAGAAGTGAAGTGACTCACCCAGGACCACACAGCTGGGAAGTGACAGAGCCAGCATTTTCCATCCCAGCATGGTGACTGGTGAGGAAATGCTCTGTCTTCCTAACTCAACTTTTCTCCAAACCATAATCTATTCCAAAAATTATTTTATAATTTATTTAAAATAATAATTATTATTGTAAAGGAAGCCGACCCAGTGTTACAGGGAGTCAGATTGTAAGGAAAACACAGTACTCACTTGGGATTCATTATTGTTCTTTTAGTGCAACAAAGCACTTGCAGGCTGAGTCCTGCATCTGAAACATGGGAAGATAGGATATGGGGTATCTACCACCCATCTTGCTCTAGGGACCAAGCCTTCACTGAGCCCATTCAGACTAGGGAGCTGGGTTTGCACCACAACGCCATCACCTCCAAACCCCTACCACAGAGCTGCTCAGACAGGGGCACACATTGGACTCACAGAGGGGCCATGGATTGGCTACCCAGTAACCAAGATTCTCACTCTCATGGGACCCAGCAGGTCTTGTCCACCACTGGTTGGTGCTTGAACTAAAAGACCACATGGAGTCGGGGCTGACAACCTTGTCGTGCCCCGTGCCTGCTAAGGAATCACCAGAGGAAGGCAGTTTGTAGTAAGTAGCTGAAACAAGAGGCCAAGCATGTGTGCGTATGTGTGTGAACATGGGGAGATGGAGAGACACGAGGGGTAGGCAGGCTGTCTCCTCCCTGCTGGCTTTGTTGTTTTCAGCACCTGAGCCCGTGAGGCCCAACTGGGTTTTTAGTTCTTGAAGACCCCTTGGTCTTCTCTCTGTAGCACCTCCACTTAATCTGAGCTTCCTTGAGTGGTTTTATGTTTCAAGCCATCCACATCAAGTGATCTCAGAATAAAGTAGAAACTGACTGTTACAGAGGCCTTGTGCTCAGGGCTGACAGCAGAGCAGCCATATCTGTGTTCCATGCCCGCATGGTGGGGAAGTTGGGGAGGCAGGTGAGCACCCACTTTGAGCAGCTTAGGAGGAAGGCAGTTCAGTGCTGCCCATGGTCACGTCTCCCTGCAGGCTCCCAACATGGTCCAAACCACTCCTGGAACCAAGGCACAGAAATGGGATTGGTCCTGAGGCTTCTGCACAAAACTTAACAGTATTCAGGTTCCTCTGTTGCCATTATATATCAGATTATCTAAATCGGGAGTGACCTAAAAGACCATCCAGCCCGTGGAAGGTAGCAGCTGCCTTCCCTAATCCTGACCTACAACTTGGATGTGTGCAAGCTGGCTGAACTGCAAGGCCCTGGGAGGCACAAAAGCAGCATGGGCCTGGGCACCTGCCAGCCCAGTGCTCAAATCCTCGCTATGACCAGGTAATGTTGCAGAGCAGCGCTATTGATGGCTGTGCACCTTAAATAATATACTTGTTTATTATTTAGTAAGAATCATTATAATAATTCACTGAGGTGGTGTTAAGCAAACTTAGCTATCCAGAACACAGCTACAATCACTTAAGAGTTTTTTTAACCTGGAAAAAATGACAGCTTTTGTATTTCACACTTTGAAACCCCCTCCCTTTCAGCTGACTTATTTTAATTTTACCCCTAATTATAGCAAGCTAGTTGTTAAGTATCCTAGCCCATAGTAGATTATTAGAAGGTAGCTGCTAAAGGCAGGTGCTCTGAATATAAAAAATAACAAATGTATAAGGCGGAAAGATTTTTAAAAGCCCAACAGTTTGCAGCTGTTCTCCATGGGAAACAGACCCCCTATAACCCAACTCCTGGTCCCTAAAGCATCGCCAAATTGAAACACAACGTAATGATCAACAGGCATAGGGCTAAGCTAAGCTACCAACCAAAAAAAATGTGCTTAAGGTGACAAGCGGACAAGCCTTAGATTTTTAAGACTTTGATCAAAGAGGTTCAACTTACTTAGTGGAAGTTTCCATTTGAAAATTTCACATCTTTTGAACATTTCAGCTCACGAGCCGAAAAGAAGAAAATCTGCATGGATGGTATCCCAGGGACTTTACCTTATCAACATCTGTTACTTTAATCATAATGTTTCCTAGTGGTATGTGGAGCATATCTCAGTCCTCCTCCTCTGGTTTTCATATGGGAGGATTTTCCTAAATACTCCTGGCCCCTGATCCCTCCCCTCATCCACTTCTTCCCATGGGAAGAGAGTGTCTCATAATTGGTTGGTTTTGGGTATTTGGCTCAGCCCGTAGAGCAGGGGCACTCTGGTCTGTCTTACATGCTCTGAGGTTTTGGGGCTGGGCCCTATGTGGGGAGCCTGTGCTCAGTGCTACCTGCGGCGGAGAAGGTAAAATTGGGGACGATATTGGGAAGCTCTATTCTCCAACAGCTTTATCATCAATAAAATGGATCGCTTCCTCTTCACCTGCCAGCTTGTCTGCCCCCAACTGGCTTAGCGCTTGTGTGGGGAGAAAGGTATTTTCTATTGCCCTCCCATCCCAACATTGTACTTACACTTTTGATTCTAAATTTTAATTTTCCCTTAATCAAATTGATGGAGCCATAAATAAGACAGATCACCTGTTATCAGTTTCCTTATCATTGGCTTCCATATAAGAATAGAAAACGGGCCATCAAATGAGCTTTTACCCTTACTCCTCACAGTTTGCTATCGACATCGCTGTGGAGCTGGCTTGGCATTCTTAAGATATTAGACTAAATTTCTTTTTAAGAGAGGGGGTCAAAGAACTCCCAGGAACAGATACTCTGTTTTCATTATATCTCTATTGAATAGAACCTAGTGCAGGTTAGTAAAAGGGTGAGGGGCTTTGAAGACAGACAGATCTAGGTTCAAATCCAGCTGGGTCAAATTTATGCTATGATCTCAGGAAGTCTCTCCTATTTTCCCTGTGCCTTCTTTGCCCATCTCTCTCACTCTCTCTCTCTCTCTCTCTTTTTTTTTTTTTTTGAGGTAGAGTCTCACTCTGTCACCCAGGCTGGAGTGCAATGACGCAATCTTGGCTCACTGCAACCTCTGCCTCCCAGGTTCAAGCAATTCTCTTGCCTCAGCCTCCTGAGTAGCTGGGATTACAGGCATGCACCACCATGCCCAGCTGTTTTTTGTATTTTTAGTAAAGATGGGGTTTCACCATGTTGGCCAGGCTGGTCTCGAACTCTTGACCTTGTGATCCGCACACCTCGGCCTCCCAAAGTGCTGGGAGGTGTGAGTCACCACGCCTGGCTGCCCATCTCTTAATCCTCTGCTCCAAGTGGGTTGTTGTGAGGATTTGAGATAATGTACCATGTTTTCTGGATTCTAAGATTTACTGCCTTCACTTTTTTTTTTTTGGAAATATGTAAATTCCCTACATGTATATGTATATTTAATAGAGTGTTTATTTTACTTTTAAAGCTTAACAGCTTTAAAAATGTCATTAATGTATGGGACAGCCAGCCTTACAATCAAAATGCCTAGAAACATGTCTTACATTAATTAGCATTAACTACATGGCTGTTCTCAGACTTATTGGAAAGGCCAAGGGGACAAGATGAGGTCGAGCCACTTTCCTGCAGCCAGGTGGGCACCTGCTCACCCTGAGTCTTCGTCCCAGTAGTAGTGGCTCCTGCCAGGATAGCTCTGCTCCACTTTGTCCATCTGCAAGGTCCTCACAAAGACACCTGTCTTGGACGTTTGCTTCAACAGGCGATTGTGAACATCTGAGAGGATGGAGAAGGTGGTGCCTCTCGGGTAGCAGAGCCCCACTCGGATCCAGTCGCCCCTAGGATTGGAAGTAGAGTCAGGTTACAAGCAAGGGTGTCCAGGCCACAGGGCCTTTGGAGCATGCCTTGGAGAAACAGACCAAAAAACCTCCACCAAATGACACCTCTACTTTTGTGTGGGAAATTTTGAAAGAACATTTGCTGCCATGGCGACTGAGTTGCAGTGTTCAAGGAGCAAGGGAGAGACAATGGCCGCCTGTGAGCAGAGAGTCTGAATGCTTCACTGGTGTGTCTCCAGGGCCAACCCTGGGGGTGCTCCGTATGGAACTTTGGGAAAAAGACATTCTTTTTGTAGTTAAAGAGCACAGGATCCAAAGGACCTAGGCTCAGCCCCTTCTGGGTCCAGCTTGATTGTAGGGTCCATTTCATCTCTTCGGTCTCATTTCCCACATCTGATCAATGTCCGTCTCACAGAAATACTGTGACAAGTAAATAATGTGCATAGAAAATACTTGAATCTAAATATAGGAAGCCCTATCTAGATGCCCTCACCCTCATCACTTTATCTCGCAGAACCTCATTTCCCTCTCTGTAGGATGGTAACAACAATACCCAGATATTTTTGCCATCTATCGAGCACTCGCTAATGCCAGGTCCTGGGTGCCCACCATACCTCATCTCCCTAGATCCTCATTGCACTCCTGCACGATAATACTATCCTCAACTCAAAGATGAAGGAGCTCAGGCTCAAGAGGTTACATGCCCTACCCAAGGTCACCCATGCCGGAGCGGGGGCTTGGCCTGTGTCCTTTAATGCTTAACTCCTGGGTGATGTCAGCCCCTCTAGGTACTCCTGCAGGGATCAATCATATGGGCTAGCTTGTGGTTCCGTAAGAGGCAAGGCCAGGACTTTGCAACAAGTCATCGTTATCAGCTTTGAGCTCAGTCAGAGCAGCTGCCCACAGATCTCACTGCTCCTGGCCAGGCACCCACTCACTTGTTGAAGTTGATGAGCCAGATGGCGAGTTCGGCGGGGGCCGTCTGGTCCCAGTGGATGGTGTAGCCCTTCTGCAGGGTGACAACCGGCTGGTACTGCTGGTAATGGGTGCTCCTGGTGAGTGCCCCCTCCAGGTAGAGAGGGTGGCTGGGGAAGTCATTCTTGATGATCTTCATTCGCAGGTTACTGGTCTTGTAGGCTTGAATGTACATCTTTTAAAACCCAAAAAGGAAACACACAATGAGGCTATTACAAAGGGTTATTCCAAGAGTGTCTGGTTAACATCTGACTACAGACTGCACTTTCAAAGGCACTTTCTCTTTACAGAACCCTTTTTAGAAGGCTTGAATGAAAGAAAGGCCAAATAAGGGGACATCTCTTTCTGCTGGTGGACACAGCCCAGGCCTTACTGTGTAATCCAGCTAATGCTTTCTGTGCATCTTCATAAAAGTGCTCTGTTGAGCTTCCAGTGGAAATTTGAGAAGAGCCTGCATAATAGTCAGATGGCAAATTTTGGACAAAGGACAGAGATGTGGATGGAGGAGGAAGGGAGTGAGAGAAAGAGAGAACTTTTATAATTCTACCATAAAATGCAACTCGCCTATAACTGGCAGTTACTCTGCCTGCATTTGAGAGAGTGCCTGGGTGTGTTGGCCTATTTCTCCCTCCTACTCCCTCTCAGTGTCTGGCCCCTGAGGTCAGTCCTTGTGGTGCCACAACACACTGCATGAATAAATGGTGCCTCATTTCAGAGGAAAAACTGAAAGCAAGACTGTCAGCCATTGAGACCCAGGGACCTAAGATCCTGGATGCTTTAGCCCAGCATTGGTTTAAAACACTGTGTCGGCCAGGCACAGTGGCTCACGCCTGTAATCCCAGCACTTTGGGAGACCGAGGTGGGCAGATCACCTGAGGTTGGGAGTTCGAGACCACCCTGACAGACATGGAGAAACCCTGTCTCTACTAAAAATACAAAATTAGCCGGGCGTGGTAGCACATGCCTGTAATCCCAGCTACTAGGGAGGCTGAGGCAGGAGAGTCTCTTGAACCTGGGAGGCGGAGGTTGTGGTGAGCCAAGATCACGCCATTGCACTCCAGCCTGGACAACAAGAGTGAAACTCTGTCTCAAAAAACAAAACAAAACAAAAAACAAAAAACAAAAAAACAAAAAAAAAAACAACCACTGTGTCCTGTTTTATAGCACATCCCAAATTCATAAAACAATATCCCCGTAACTGTGGCCAAGAGAGACAATCACACCAATGTGCAATGATGTTGTGCTTTTGGAAGGAAGTGGTTATCTTCCCCTCTAGTTTTATCGCATATAAGATGGAAAGAGAAACCAACCGTGCCCATCTTAGGGAGTTGCCCTGAGTATCAGAAGGTAAAGGATACATTAAAGCATTTTGTAAGATGTAAAGTGAAGGGAAAATACTATGGATAACAGTTAACCAGTTGCCAGTTATGATAATCTGGCAAGCTCTAACAATGAGCTTTTCTTCACAGAAGATAAGCAACGTATCAGAAAGAAAGTGTGGGAAGGAAAATCAAGGCTCCGTATGGGATACCTAGACCTTGAGCTGAGGCTGTGTAATGCTAACAGCATGGATGCCAGGCTTGAGGGTTTGGTCATCCTTCAATTACTCAGGGCATGACTGTCCTCCATCAGCTCCCTTCTGACTCCACTTCCCTTCTTATCTTTCTCAGACCATCACATCAACCACTCACTCCCATTAGGATCTTGGCCCTTCCTCTGCCCACACCTGCAGCAGAAGCCTCCCCCTGACTCATTGCACAGCTCCGCCTCTCCCAGGGCTCTCGAGCAGAGCTGAGAAAATCCCACAGCCTGGGAGAGAGATGCCTCTGCAAATGCACCGCCTCCAGTCTCCGCTAGGTTTTCAACACTGCCAGGTGCTCCTTCCACAAGCTTCTTGTCAACATTTTCCACTCTCTACAGCAGCTCTTCCAAATCTTTATCACTCTCTGGAGGTTACTTTCCTCAAGCCCAATCCCCAAATTCTCAGCACATGACATCACCTTCTACTGCAGAGAGAAACACCCTCAGCTTCCTGCCCTCTGCCCCAGTCTTCCTGTGGTCCTTCTTCCTGCTAAATGCTAGCCCTGCCACCTCCGCTGGCACCTGACCCCCACCAGCTGCACCCTGTGCCCCCTTTGCCCCTTATGGCCCTTTTCCTTCAGCCCAACACTATCTCCCTCTCCTATCACTCCTCCACACCCAAACCACCATTTAGCTCTTTTCTAACACCCCAATTCCTGACACCCACAGTGGTGATAATAATGCCTGCCTTGTAGGATAGTTTTGAAGACAGCGTCTTCATTCATACATGTTTTCTTCACTCTCTGAGATGATCTGGCTCACTGTGAACCTGACAATTCATTTTCTCAGGCCTCTCTGCCCTTAGTCATTTATTCATTAGTCATTCATCAAAATACTAGAAGTAACAATAATATAATAATAGCTAACTAATATTTTCAGTTCTGCCCCATTCTAGGCACCATCTAGACCTGCCCTGTCCCTCATGTGGCCACTGAGCACTGGACATGTGGCCACTGTGACTCAGGATCTGAATTTTAAACTTTAATTCATTTAAATTTCAAAACAAAAGCAATGTAAATATTTTTTCCTATCCCATTACCCTGATTTGATCATTACATATTATATACATGTATCAAAATATCATGCATGCTCCAAGAGAATATACTATATAGCAATAAAAATGCAAAAATAAATTAAAAATAAAAATTAAAAATTCACATTAAACACAACGTTATTGTTTCAGTAGGACTACACTTCCCTTGATTGAAAATTGAGTGGGCAACAGTGGATTTTGAAGACAGAAAAAAAAACAAGAACTGTTTAATGATTTTCTACACTGATTCATGTTGAATGATAGTATTTTGAATACAATTAAAGTATTATTAAAATTAAATTATGTTTCTTTTTACTTTTTAACATGGCTACCAGAAAATTTAAGATTACATGTATGGCTTGCATTATATTTCTATTGGATAGGGCTGGTGAAACGTTTTACATGTATTTTCTGAAGCCACCCCCAAAATCTCGCTAGGAAAGTTCAACTATTTTACAGGTGAGGAAACTGAGGCTCCAAGAGTCCAAGTAATTTGCCCAAAGTCCAATGGTAAGTGTTGGAACCCGACTTGAATCGAAGCATTTGACCCAGAGGGTTCTTTTTTTCCTAAGCATTTTGTTTACCAAGTGTTTTGATTTTAACTTTGTAAAAATCCTACTGGGTGAGGAGAAAAAAATTAAAAGAAAGAAAGAAAAAGCAAAAAAAATTCTGTATCTCTTTGTGCCCTGAAACAGAGCTAGGCATACAGTAGGCACTCACTGAATGCTTGTTGCATGAGTGAATAAGTGAGTGACCGGCCCCCAGAAAGGTGTCCCCACCTGTGCATAGCGCCCACTGCAAATGGCCCCTCTCCAGTCGGGAACATTGATGCAGTCTGGGTGCCGGACCAGCCAATTGTCATCCTTCGTGAGGTAGGAGCCAGGGTACTCGGACACGGAACCATCGACGTCATGGAACACAGATGTCTTATCCCCATCCATGTCCAGCTGGTTGAACCAGGGCCCAGGCTCTCCGAAGAACACTCTGGAAGTAATCTAAACAGAGCCCAGGAAAGTTAGGCAGGGCTAGAAGGTGAAGGGAAACTGCAGCCGTCATCAGGCCAGGGCGAGGTTTCCGATTTCCACTGACATTACAAGCCAGCCAAAACAAAGATGCTCTCGGGCACTGAGAGAAACCGCAAGGCTGACCCCTCCGATGCAACCGGAGTCACAGTCAAAGGTTCACCGTGCCTCAACTCCCAGACCTAGCACACACTTTTGGCCTCTGCTCGCTGGAGGGTTGGCTACTGTGGGTGAGCTTGGAGACTGCTCTGACACACAGGCTTCACCAACTGCAGAGATGGAGGAGGGGGACTGAGGACTGTGAGTGTGAATGTGTGTGAGAGGGAGGTGGTGGTGATGTGTGTATGAGAAAGGGCACACACACGTTTACACATACACACACACACGGGGGCATCCATGTGCGAGAGAAAATGTGTGTGTGGCATGTTTCAGGAAGACAGTTTTGCAGCATGGGCCCTCTCAGATTTCCATGACTGACCTTTTTCAGGCCCTCAGTCGCCTGAGTAAAGACATTAAGTCATTTCAGTTTCACATCATTTCCCTCAGCCTGCCAGAAACTGGGCAAACGGGCAAAAGGCAGGAGCAGGGAGGAGAAGGAGGGAAAAGTCTGGGAATCCATAACCTGAAGGAAATGCACAGGAGGCCTGGCCCTGGCTGGTCTCACGGGGCAGCCCTTGCTCCTGATCTCCTAATCCTCAGCTCCTCTTCTGCCTTCTCTGTCTAGGGCAAGGAAGGCTCTGTTTATAGTCTGCTCTTGGGGAGAGATTAAACAGAACATCATCAGTTAAGACTTCCCTTGGAAACTGTGGGGCTTGTTAGATTCTTTGTGCCAACTCAGGTGGCCTGGTCATAAGACTCAGTTTGTCAAAGTCAAGACCCTTGGAGGAACAGCCTAGGAACCTCGATCCACACGTCGGGGTCCTCTGGAGGCTGGCCTGAGTTTTGAGCAGGGAGAGAGCAAGCGGGCATTTACCCAGACCTGAACTGTGGGGCAACCTACGCTTGTACTTTTCCAGTTTGGATGAAGAGCAAACTGGGACATGGCCCAGCCTAGTTGGAGGAGGCTTTTCAACCCCTGCGGTGATGGCAATAGCTCAAACTCTGGACCCCAGAGGACTTGTGAATCACCATCCAAAGTCTGGGTTTGCCGGGAGTCTGCCGTGGCGCCTCACTCACCGGAACGTCCTCAAAGGCAATGCCGGTCACGTTGTTATGGGGGCAGCTCTGCCAGGCATTATTCAGGCGGAAGGCCAGGGCGCTGGTGTGCCGGCCCTCCAGGGCCACAAACTTTCGGAAAGTGCAGTTTTGGATGTTGATGGGGCCATCATAGAACTGAATTCCTCTAATCGGAAAATTCCTATGGAGTTAAGGAAGATGTCAGTCTAAATGTTGTCCATTCCTATGGAGTTAAGGAAGTAAGATGTCAGTCTAAACGCCATATTGTTTGCCCCTTCTGAGGTGGATGGTAGCAGAGACTTCCTGGGTAAAACCATTCCTGATCCCCACCTCTAGCAACTCCCCCTGCCCCAGATCATTACTGATTCATTAATTAATGAATTATTAATTCATTAATTAATTTAAAGCATGTATAGACACACTAATTGTCAATGAATGACTGCCAGATGAATGGATGGATGGATGAATGGATGGATGAGTGAATGAATATCCATCTAGTTGCTGGTTTGGAGTTTGGAGAATGGTCCTGTATTTCAACATTTCCCCCAGTGTTTCCATTATATAAAGAGTCATTGGGTAAATACTGTAAATACCACTGGAGCGTGCCAATAATATGTTTCTTGGGAAGGTAGAGCTGTTAGTCGTTATCGCCTTAGCTTTAGTTGCTATAACAATTTAATCAGATTAAGACCCACATGAGTTTCTCCTCTGTGAGTAAGCCTTTCACATTGGCAGTGTGCTGGGTTTGGGAAACAGAGGGGAAAAGAACACAGAATGGAAGGTGATAAACATGTGATAAAAGTAATTGTAAGGCAACATTTTCAGCACCCCTAGAAGAAAGGGAGGTCCCACTGAAAAGCAAGACTGTGGACTGACAGAGAACCCCAAGAAGGCCCTGAGACCCAGAAGGAGGTAGGAAGCGGCCACAGGCTTGGACGTGGAGGTAGGAGAGACTGGGCAAGAACTGGTGACTTAAAGATTTTGCCTTGGTCTAGCATGGAGTAGGTTGCTCAGACACACTTCTCCCATTGCCTCAGACTCCTGAGCAGAGCACAGGAAACAAGGGTCTGCGAGGTTGGCTGGGCTTCCTGGTGGCCCTTCTTGGGCCTGGCCCCAGTCTAGGCTTGCTCCTTCTCCAAACCCAACATGTATGCTTATGCTGGTGTCTCTATATCTGGGTCAAGCCCATTCTCTTCCACAGTAAATATAAAGAAGAAAAGATAGAAAGAGGAAAAAGAAGCAGAAAAAATATCTGCCCACAGGGAGAGACCATACTCCAGTTGTCCCTGATCTTCAACCCTGGGCTCCCTTCCTTTCCAATATGGTTCCTTGAGGAAGACCCTAGCCACAGCAGTCATGGTAACAAGCCTTCAGTGGGCACCAAAGACTCCTTGCATTTCTATATTTTTATGTTTATAATTGATTAACATCATGACCTAGAATCCTGATTCTCATGGGGTGGCCCCATGCATTTTTTCATTTCACATATTTTAGAGACAGTCCATTTTTACTAGCTCTATACTTAGGTTTTACACTTCAGCCTGACCCAGCTCTATACAAGATGGATCAACCATGATGAGGACTGCAAGGTCTTAGGTTCCTACTTGCAGATGCAATTTGAGGAACATGCCTCAGTCTGATAGGTTTCCATAAACAGGATCACCTTTGGAAGTCATCAGAGCATTCTGGCCCTGGGAGGCTGCTAACTCTTGGCAAAGAAACCCTGAACGTGCAGATTCAGGGTCACTCATACAAATGCTGAAAGGGACTGATCCGTCACTCAGGTTAGACAGAAGGAAGGGCTTCTCCCACCTCGTGCTGAAGGAGATCATGATTTTGCCTTTGCAAAGTCTTTTCCATGTCCGCTTGGGTTGGAAGTTTTAGGTCAATGTGTATTTTGTGCCCTGGCTCTAGTAGTAGAAATTACATCTTCCTAGAGAAAGAGTAGAAAGCTCAGAAAGACAAGAAGGGCTGATCTTATCATCAGGAGCACAGGGACCACCATGCTGCTCACAGGCTCTGAACCTTGCTCTCTGGCTTAAATTCACACCTGAGCAGAAACACCAGCAGAAGAAGGGAGATTTCCTCACCACCAACCCAGCCTGTGGCTTTCCAAGGAATTGACTGAGTTCATTATCCCTGTTCGCTCATCAACCTTCCAAGTCACTCACTCACTCTCCACCCACCTGCTTATTGTCTGACCTTCATTTGAACTTCCCCAGCTGCAGAGCCCAGGACTCCTCAGGACAGTCCTGCTATTCTGTTGTTGAGCATATCTGATGTAAAAAGATCCATCCTTCTTGCAGTAAACTAACCCTAAGGACCATTGTAGAATGAGTCTCATCCCCTATGTGCACAGCAGCTCTGAGAACATGCAACAATATCCCCCATGTTGTCCCCAAAGTGATGATCCTGTCTCCTGGTTGAAGACCCCAACCTGCATGTGACATGGCTTCAGCTTTTGTCACCCTCCTGGTTATTCTCCTTTAAGTGTGCTTTGGCCAGACTCTATCGCTCTCCCATCCTCAGGAGTGGATGCAACACTCCAAGTGAGTGTGCTGTCAGAGAAAAGGACTCATGATCCCTGATCCCAGACACTAAATTCCCATTAACGTAGCCCAGGAACACATTACGCATTTTGATGGCCACATTACCCTGTTGACTCATTTTCCACACCATTTTTTGACTTCTCTCTCCCCATTCCAGATTTCATCCCTTAATTGTTAGTCTCAGTCAGCTCAATGATTCCTCTGGCTGGTAGAGGACAGAAGAATTCAGAGTCAACAGGTAGAAACTACCCATTAAGTTTTTCCCTTCCAACACAGCCACTTAGGTTAAGCCACTCAGAACAAGGAGCTACATGGTTGCAAACCTACTGGCCTATAGGGAGGGTCCTTCCACTATGGTCCAAGCCACCGGGGCCCCAGATCCTATTGTCCATCATTTCTGTCCCCACGTTGCCGCTCTCGCCAACAAACAAGCTGTTCTTTATCTCTTGCTTGGAGCCGTCATCATACGGGAAAGTTCCACCACTGTAGAGAGAAGATAAGTTTAAGGTGAGATGTCCAGAGACAAGATCCCACAGAGGTCCAAATATAATGACAGTTGCCCTTACCTGGCCAGGGTTAGGCCGATGCCATTGTCAGCAAACCTGTGGACAAGAGCAGATAGATAGTCAGAGCATGTCCTGGCTTCACATTCAGTGGAGTCGTGGAGAGAAGCACACTTGCCTGCCCTTGGAGTCAAACTGAATACCGTGCAGAGGAAGGAGTCTCTTTGTAAGCAGAGGTGTGCTCTGGGAGTTGTGGCTCTCCTGTTCTACACAGGAAGGGGATGTTCTGGGTCCCCTCCCACTCCAACTCTGACTCTAGAGAGAAAACAGTGACCTCTGTGGCTCTCCATGTTCAATGGCATTGACAGCATGCAGACTGGGGTCCATGAGCCTCCCTCTCCAGCCCTATCCTCTGTGATTCCAGGACTTAGTTTGAGGTTGGATCAGGAGAACTTGAAGGGCCTTCCGCTCTCAGGACCAGCACCAGGGAAAGGTGGAGTATGTGAATGCACTTCTATTTTTTTTCTTTTACCATCTTCACTACTGTTTCAGCCATAGAGAGAGGCAACAATAGCTACTTTTCAAGTTTCCGGGAAGTCAGGCAGATGCTGGCCCTGAGAAGGGCAGGAAGTCATTTTGCAATTGCGCTGGAACCATCTCGTTAGCTCCTTCTCACCTCTGCCCTTTTTAGGGGTCAGATGAACATGTTCCTGGGGGGTGTCTGATTGCGAGGGCCAAGGGACTACACAGAATCCAGAGCTGAGTCTTGGGTCCGTGCTACCACAGACTCTAGGGCCAAATACGGTGGCTGCCTTCACTTCCTGTGTCCCAGGGGTAGATTTAACTGGTCTCCATGCCTCTGCTCCTTCCACCTGTCCTGTCCACCCTACTAGGCTCATCTCAAAGTGCCATTCTCACCAACCTTTCTGCTCCCTAAAATTTCCATGGCTTTATATCCTTCATAGATCCAAGCTCAAGGGCCTGGTGAATCCACAACAGCTGCACCAGGCTGGTCCCGGTGGCCAGCATGCTCTCTAATTCCCAATGTACTTTTTCATACTCTGCTCATCCGCTTTCAGACACATGGACCTTTTTCTTTTTCTGAAGCACATTTAGTTCAAATGAATCATTCCAGTCCCATCATTAGGGCACCGTCTACTCCATTTATTTTCCAAAACTTCCTGAGTCTTGTCTCCCAGACCGCTCCATGGCTTTTTGTCATTGCTTCTGTCCCCCAGTGCTCGGCTCCTGGTCCCCTCATTCTTCCAATCCTTGAAGGGATCCCTATCTTCTGTCAGCCTCTATTGCACCAACCTTGTCCACGCATAGGACCACAGCCTTGGTGCCAGCCAGATCCTAGGCTACCTTGGAATGAGTCTGGTGGGAGATTAAAAGACACACCCACTTTGGCAGGAGGGGTCTTCGCAATTTTTCTTACTGCCCGAAATCTGGCATTCACCGTCTCTTTAGGGACCTAAACTCTGAAATGCCCACAACCAGAACCAAGAGATTTACCGAACTTAGGATATTGCAAAGAATTTTGGCATTGACACCATCTAGTTTCTCTTCAACCCAAGGCTTCCACCCACCTTCTGCATAGTGCCCCTCCCAAGGATGCTCTAGGGTCTGCTCTAGGGATAAGGAGCCTGGCAGCTTATTGCATAGACTAGTGTCTTATATGGTAGGAACGCTTTTCCTTCTCCAGAGCTGAAACCTGCTCCATGCCTATCACTTTTGCCTTCTAGAGCCAATCAGAACAACCCTGTCCCCTTCCCTAAATGCCCTTCAGAAACCCAGAATCAGCTCTCTTCTTTCCCGTCCCTTCTTCTTAAAACGAATGACTTCTTTTCTTACAAAATGAAGGCCCCTCGGCCTGGCAAAGTGACTCACGCCTGTAATCCCAGCACTTTGGGAGGCCAAGGTGGGCAAATCACAAGGTCAGGAGTTTGAGACCAGCCTGACCAATGTGGTGAAACCCCATCTCTACTAAAAATACAAAAATTAGCTGGGCGTGGTGTCGCATGCCTGTAATCCCAGTAACTCGGGAGGCTGAAGCAGGAGAATTGCTTGAACCCAGGAAGCGGAGGTTGCAGTGAGCTGAGATTACACCATTGCACTCCAGCCTGGGTGACTCATCACAGATGAGAGTGAGACTCCATCTCCGAAAAAAAAAAAAAAAAAAAAAAGAAGGCCCCCTCAGTCTCTCTGCCTCTGTTTTTAGGTTTTGTTTTTTTTGACTTTTTAAAAAAAAATTTTATTGTTTATTTTTGGCCACTGCCTGCTGCCATTCTATGCCCCTGCCTGGCTGGGAGACCCGAAAGCCTTTGCACCTCCCCTTCTTTGTCTCTCATGCATCTTCCTGGGGCTCCATTGCTAAGTCAGTTTCTCCCCAGATCTCTGCATATCTGAGCAGCCTTTCTCTCCCTCCCTCTCTCTCTTCTCTCTCTGTCAATGCTGTGTCTCTGCTTTTCTCCTCACATGCTTTTCAATTTATCTTGTTCCCTTTCACCTTTATTTCTCCTTTACTTGGTCACAATAAAATAGAGAAATATGTTTATTTCCTAATAGGGTTTCTGATTTCCCATTTTTAACACAAAAGGCAGACAAGGAGACATTTCACAATACTCCCTGGAAACAAATCCCAGCTCTGCTGACTGTGCCTTCTGGATCTTGTCCAGCATGTGCCAGTCACTTATATAGGGACTTCATATGAGAGCTCAGCGTTCCCTGCCTTTTTCATTTGAGTCTTGGAGTCCAGTGAACTGTAGCTCCAAGTTCCAGTTCAAACACTAGCTAACTGCATGACCTTGGGAAATTCACTAAACTGAAACTCAGTTTATCATCTCTAAAATGGAGATTGTAATTTATATGTTTGAGAAACATGGTAAGAAAGAAATGCAACTAAGGCTTCCACACAGTAAGTGCCCAGAATATTCTGGCTTCTTTCTTCTTCCCTCCCTTAACTGATGGGCTGTGTGACCTTGAGAGAGCCAAGACCAATGACTATTTGGAAGCAAATCATAACCCGCAGCACCTGGCGCTGTGGGCTGAAGCCAATATGCTGCTTTTAGATTTTGCTTTTTCTGATTTTTTCTTTGTTGTTGCTGTTTTTTGGCCACTGCCTGCTACCATTCTATGCCCCTGCCTGGCTGGGGGACCAGAAGGCCAAACGTCAGTATGTCTGGCTTCCCCTCTCTGTTTTGCTCTCCTCTCTCTGTGGGGGGCTGAGGGAAGACGCGCCATGCCCCCTTTGTGCCAAAGCCACACGCCACTCTGACTCACCGGCAGCTGTCCAGCCACACATCCCCACCGCGCAGCCAGGCCCCGTGGTCCTGGTTCTTGTAGGCAATGAAGTGCTTGATGATGGCTGGCTCCCGAGGCTTCAGCGGGTCAGCATCCTGGTGAGGGCTATATCTGCAGCACACCATGGGGAGGGCACAGGTGGTGGTTTTGGGGGCACACCTCTGCTTCTGGGCTCTGTAAGCCCCTCTGTACTCACAGTGCCCAGGAAGGCACTGACTAAACAGAAACCCATTTGCATTGCCTGGGCTCTGGAATGAACTTTCTGAGTTCATCACAGAAGCAAGAGGTCACTCCTCCATCAGCCCATGCAGGCTCCTCACATACTGAAGAACCTGCCCCCAAGTGGGTCAAAGCACAGAGGAAAGTTCAGACAGCCATTCCCACAAGGGCATGCGACATAGTCCTCGTGGCCCAGGAGAAGAGTCTGGAGATACCCAGCTCTCGCACTAACTGGCAGGTCACCTTGAACTAGTGCCTTTTCTGAGCACTTCTTAGCTATAAAACGGAGTGGACTATCATGTTACCATATTACCCACTTTTGATGGAGAGCAAGCAACTTGTCTCTTTAAAGGAGATTGGTTTTGCTAATTACCTTGAGGTTTTTAAAGCACCTTTTAAAAGTTGCCCCTGGCTTTCAACTGAACAGTAGGTTTATTTATAGGCATGACCTGCATGTTCTTTCCCATTAAATTGATGGTAAAATTCTTCCCTTCTGTTCTCTTCATCTTTTCATCCTGGCCCAACCTACTGTGGCCCTGCTCATTTCTGCCGACTTACCAGCTATTCACTTTGCTGAGGGATCTAGAAACCTCTGGGAATTTCTATCTTCCTTTGGCTACTGGAGCTGGAATCCTAATTCAGACTTTACTCTGCTCAGGTTTTCACCATTATACCCCCAGCAAATAGCTCAATGCCCAGCACAAAGCAAGGGCTCAACAGATGCTCAGGGAATGAATGAGTGATTGAAGGAGGGGGAGGCAGGAACTGGAGTGCAAGGTCACCATGGACTGTGTCTTCCCAATGGCTGATTACCTGGCAGAGATGATCGAGAGGAAGGGCCGCTTGTCCTTGGCAGAGGCCTCAGTGGTTTTGACTCCGTTGTCTATGATCATGCCAGCCTGCAGGAAAGAGATATTCAGGGACACATTAACTTCTACTGTGGGCTAAAGGCATCTTCCCACACTCAGCCTCACTGCATACTTCTGAATGCTCCGGGAAAACCGGCTCTGTTCTCAGGCTGCATCAACAGAAGTAGAGGATATACAGTAAGGTAGGTGAAGATGCTGCCCTATTCTGCATTGCTCAGACCAAATCTGGAATATTTGACCTCTTTGAGGAGCATATGTGGAAAGTGAGGTCTAGAGAGATTATATATCTTGTCCAAGGCCAAATGGCAAAGTCCATGTGCAGAACCCATACTGCTTTGGACAGCCCAGGCCCCAAGTCAAGAACAACAGTTGTACACTCGGAGGAAATTTATCTGCTGTGATTTAAAGCAAATGCTGAACCTAAGTCCCATCTTTACCTTGGACAGGGGACAGTGATCTTCTCACAGTCTCATTTTAGCTCCTGTCTGTCTTGAAGACAGAATCTGGCTTTCTTGTTTGACTCTAAATATGTCCACTTTGTCAGCCATGGGGTAGGGAGAAATCAAGGCAGCTGAGTGATGCTGCCCAGGGAGGCCACCATTCAGTCTTCATTCCTTTCTGGATTCTCTTGGCCTCTTGTGAATGCTCAAACTCAGATTTCTCTTCTTTAGATAACTGGAGGGCACTGTGGTCATGTCATTCTCCCTCTGGCTTATAATTCAGCAGCAGTGATGTGAGTCAGATGATGTGGGGTTGACTCACAGCTCTACTCCCACTAACTGACTGGGCAAGTCCCTTTACCTCCTCAGTGATATCATCTGCAAAATGCGCTAGTAACACCTATGTCACAGGATGGTTATGAGGACCCAATAAGAGACCCCAGGTGAAGCCTCCTGGAACCGGTCCCTCTCACTGTGGATGTGGAGTCAAGGCTTACTGGGCATGAACACCAAGGGCGGGACCTCCTCCTTAGCTTAGATAATTGAATCATCCAGCTGGAGGCTCCTCTTCACTCCTTCCCTCCCTGCCTCAGAGAATGAGACCTGCCACCTTCCTCAAGACCCACCCCCGCCCCACCCATAAGCCCTTGCATGCCTGCTTGTTAGAAACCATTCACCTGCATGCACTCCTCCCCTTTCCAGCCTCTCCACACCTGCTAGGTTCTATGTGGCCCACCTCTCTTCTCATGAAGCCTTCCCAAGGGGTGGGAGTGGGGGGTTTCTTGACAAGCAGCCAACACATTCTCTCCACTGTTCCCCCTGCCACCAACAGCAGCATGCCCCCTGCACCTGCCTTTGTATGGAGACAGCTCTCTGAGGGCCATGTCAGCCTCTAAAATGCCCTCTCTGATACCCTGCACTAATTCTCCTCTGTCAAGGTGAGACTGTTGTCCTCCACACCTCTGCTCACTGCTCGATGACACTACCCTCTTTCCTAGTTCCTGGGATATGACACTGCCTGGGGACTCTTCTTCTCTTTCTGCCGTTCCACTCTGCAACTGCTCACCCCTTGCCCCACCCTGCAATTGCTCACCCCTTGCCCCACCCCATCTCCTAGGTGTAAGCACAGATCTATTCTGAGACTGTATCTCTTCATTTTGATCTTCTCTCTGGTTGGGCTTTTACAAATCTTTTTACTTTTTGACTCAGAATGTATCCATTTCCTTTGAGGAACATCAATTTTTCTTCATTGGTATCATTAGGGATTGGACCAGAACACCAGCCTAGGCATTTGGGAGTCTGCCTGTGCACTGCCCTGGCATCCTTGAGACCACCTCTGCCCCCACAAACAGCGTCTCTGGTCTCAGCCATGCTCCAAGCTCCATTCCTATGCCCCACGACTCTGGTCTTGACTGCTGTCCTTACTGGGAGGTCCTTGACAGACTTGAGATCCCAGTCATCTTGGTATGCCCTCTGTCCCCCAGTGCCTAGCTTGGTGCTGGACACAAAAGCAGGTGCTTAGGACATATTGATGAGCAAATGAAGATGACTGAGGACTTTGTGTCCCACCTGCCCACTTAGCTCTGTACAGATGCAGCAACCCATTCATTTCCCAAGAAACAAGACAAGAGCAAACAGCAAAGAGGATGCCAATGCTGCCTCCACCTTCCTTCAGAGCCACGTCTTGATTTCCTTCAGCTTATGGATCAGGCCTAACTTTTCATGGTTGAGACTACACCCAGACCTGCCAAGTGAACTGCAAACCAAATTCAGGTGCCCAGCTCAGGGGCCACCAAGAGAAGCTCTCCCCCCGTCAGCATGAGTGAAGAAACAACTTGTTCCTTTTGGCTCTGGCCATATGCTAAGTCCATGCCCGTGCAGGAACCACCACAGGAGATTTATGTGAAGAATGTGGCCAATGGCCTGGGAGGCCTCACAAGGCTGCTCCATTTTCTTCGAGACCAGCGTTAAGAATGCAGTTGTTCCCAGCTGTCACCAACTGGTTGTCCCGGCTCTAATCATCTGCAGGCCTGGGAAGGGGACCGAGAGGCTGGCCAGAGAGGCGCAGTCTGGAAAGACTTACCCGGTAGTTGGAATGTGCTCGGTTGTTATAGAATTTTCCCAGTGGAATGTGCTCTGAATAACCTGGGGAGTACATTCCCACAGAGGGGCCCGTTGGTACGTGGTGAAAAATAAACCAAAATCCAGTTTCCTGTTGGGGAAGCACAGAAGGGAAAAGCCACAGCGTTCAGCCTCAGAGAGCTCCTGGGCAAGGTGGCCACGCAGCCCACGCTGGAGGTGGGTCTAGTATCTAGTGCCGTCACCCACACCAGCCCTCAATGCCTACCCCCAACACACCTCCGTGTGGTCCAGTCTGGAGGGAAAACAGTGACAAGTAGAGCCCACCATGAGAGTTGAAGCCCGTCATGGGTTCCTACTCTATCAGACATGGCTCGGAACTGTTGCATTTCAATCACTGTGGGCTTAAACTCCTCTTCCTGACACACAGGGGGATTTCGTTGTCTGCTTTCCCCTTCATTCTACAGATAAGGAAGCTAAGTTCCAGGTCAAGGTCAGGGTCCCAAGGAAGGCCAGCAGCATGAATGGGTGGGTGACAGCAGGGCTGTGTGGATGGAATGCTGTGGCCGCCACCTCCCAGCTGTGTGTGTGCCCCTGGGCATGTCAGCTCTCCTAGCCTTAGCTTCCTCCCCTATCAGATAGGGATAATAATAGTACCTGCGTCACTGGGTTCTTATAAAAATCAAATTATGTGAACTTACAACACTGATACGTCAGGTACCTTTCTAAGCTAAAATTATGGCATTCTAATATGATTTATTATACTTAAAGCATTCAGTGTTCACTAACTATGGTCACCAGTGTATTATGAAGTGACAGGGCTGTCCTTTAAAACCAAGTCCAAAGGACACCCCCTGCCCTACCACCCCCAGTCTATTGTTTTCCTCTTCACTGTAGCTAAGCCTGTCTGCATGGATATCTGGGCTTGGGGCTCAGAGCACAGATACTTCAAGGTAAGCCTCAGGGGCTGTCTCCCAGACTCCAGTCCCTACCCTCACTTTCTGCCAAAGAAGGGATACTTCTGCTCACCTCAGATCCTGCAGCAGCACAGTTTATGAGGTTGTTGTTGGGATTGGCCATCCAGAAGGTGGACACAGCACTGCAGGGAGGGCAGAGATACCTGAAGTCAGATAAAGGCCACCAGGGGTCATCCTGCCACACGGCAGGTGCAGGTCAGGCACTCTGATATTGGCCTGAGAGTCTCTTTTTTATTATTATTATTTTGAGACAGAGTCTCGCTCTGTCACCCAGGCTGGAGTGCAGTGGCGCAATCTCAGCTCACTGCAACCTCCATCTCCGGGGTTCACGCAATTCTGCTTCAGCCTCCCAAGTAGCTGGGACCACAGGCACCTGCCACCACGCCCGGCTAATTTTGTTTTTTTGTATTTTTAGTAGAGACGGGGTTTCACTGTGTCAGCCAGGATGGTCTCAATCTCCTGACTCCTCCCAAAGTGCTGGGAGGCCTGAGAGTCTCTTATCAGAGATCTGAGAAATAATTGACTTATTCTGAAACCCAGTTTTCTAATTAAAGTGTGGTCCTCGTTTAAGCACTTAAAATGTTCAGAACTTTAAAAAAGCATGAGTCTTGAAAATAGAAGCAGTGTGCAAGTGATGTCTGAGATTGGCTTTAAAATACTTGTAGGTCAGAAGAACCCAGGAAAGTAGTCCTTTCTAAGGGAGGGGTGCTGCACTTGGAAGGCTTACTGCAGAGAGATATCACCCCGTCTCTGTGTCTCTCTCTCTCCATATCTAGAAAAGGGTCCGTGTGGTTGGGGCCTCCGTGGCAGCTGAGGTGACAGCCACTTCCTCTCATCAAAGGGCACTGTGTGGATAAAGAGAAGCCCCACAGATGAGAACAGGGGTCCTCTTTGGACAAGAAAAATGCACATGAGGCAAACTGAGAAGGGAGAAGAGAGAAAACACCCTCCCACCTGCTCTGCAGGAAGCTGGAGCAGTAGGTGGTTAAGGGCTGTGAGGCCCAAGCTGCTCAGAGCCCCAAAGTGCAGAAGTCTGGTGCTGGGCTGAGCTGAGTGAACACATGCTCACACATGCACACCCCTTCCCCCCAGCACACAGAGAGGGGTCCAGGCACTTACTTGCACTCTTGCCTGGGCTTGGGGATGTACCCCGGATAGGAGTCCTCTGTGATCATCTTGCACATCTTGCTGTCACGGTCTGAGGGGAGGAGGGTTCCGGACTTGACAAGGAGGCCAAGACAGTGGTCAAAAGTGTTGCGTTCCTCTGGCCCATCTTCCGTGAAGAAGCAGTGGCCCAAAGAGTTATAGCCCACAACGTCCTTGGTCTGCAGGGGTCAAGACAGGGATGTTTCACCAAGCATCCAGTTATTCATGTGCCCATTCATTCATTCAGTAAACACTAAATAGTCTCATGTGCTCATTCATTCATTCAACAAACACTAAATAGTCTCAGCCATACACTGGGCCCTGGGAGGAGCATTGGGGGTTTGGAGATGAATAGGACACAAGTGATAGGCCTGGGGAAAGTGGGACATGGGGTGGGATGGTGACTTTTTTTTTTTTTTTTTTTGAGATGCAGTCTCGCTCTGTTGCCCAGACTGGAGTGCAGTGGTGCAATCTTGGCTCACTGCAAGCTCTGCCTCCAGGGTTCAAGCGATTCTCCTGCCTCAGCCTCCTGAGTAGCTGGGAATATAGGCGTGTGCCACCACACCCAGCTAATTTTTTATGTGTTTTTAGTAGAGACCCGGTTTCACCATGTTGGCCAAGCTGGTCTCAATCTCCTGATTCGTGGTCCACCTGCCTTGGGTACCCAAAGTGCTGGGATTACAGGCAAGAGCCACTGCGCTGTGCCAGGGATGGTGACTTTTAAAAGCCCTTTCCAGCTGGAGGAGTTGGGGGTGGTGAGGCTCTATAGGGTAGGAAAGGGGGCAAGATATCATACGTGAGAAGATGAATCCAAGAGGAGGCCATGGGCTGGGCCATGCGCACCCACTTCGATGGAGCACACAGCTGAGTGCCCTGCGTACAAGGACTTACCATGAAGGGACTCCACAGAGGAGATCCCACTGAGGAAGGGTGGACGAGGGAACTTCATCTAGGAGCAGCACCTGAGCTGGGGCAGGTGTGCTTTTTATTAAGACCAGTATAGATTCTCCTTATTGTACCCTCACCCAGAAATCCAAGCCAGCTTGTTAGCCCAAGATGCATATCAAGCCACATGTGCAACACCTGGGTTCAGAACCAGAAAGGGCTGCAAACTCCAGCTCTTTGGTTTCCTTTTTGGAATACACAGTTAGTGGGGAAAGCAGAAAGAATATTTGCATGGATATTGAGATACCAGGGATGTAGTTTCAGCAGCACATCCAAGCAGCGTGGGGATCTCAGACAAGACTCCTATCTTCTCTTCAGTCACTTTTTTTCCACCGCAAAAATGAAGGACTTGAATTCCATGATCTCTGAAGCCCCTTCTGGGTCTGAATCTCTAAACTCATCAATCTCAGAACTCAGGTCTTCAGAGGGCCTCTAGCCTGGGCCCCACCTCCCTGTCCAACCCCAGACTCTGTTCCCAAGCATAACTGGCAAACAGGTACCCTACTTCTGCTCAGACACTCCAGAGAGATGCTCACTTCCTTGCAAGGTGGCCTGTTACACAGTGGGGCAATGGCGAGAAATGCCTCCCTTATCTTACACCCTTCATCCCCACCCCTGGGTACAGACTGCCCAATGATGTCATCCACCAAGGGAGTTCCTGCTTCCTGATGACATCAATTCAACACATACCTATTCAGTACCTGCCACCATGCCATCACCGGAAAATCCACATACCAACCAGCAACAACCCTCCACCTCCCACCCCTGGCACTGTGAACATTTCGAGAGGCTGTCCTATGCATTGCAGGATGTTTAGCAGCCTCCCTGGTCTCTACCTACTAGATGCCAGGAAAACCTCTTTAGTTGTGACAACCAAAAATGTCTCCAGACATTCATTGCCAAATATTCCACTGGGTAGAAGGGAGGAAGGGTGACAGAATCATCCCTGATTGAGAGGCCCTGATGTAGACACCACAGTTCCTTCCAGGCTTTTTTTTTTTTTTTTTTTTTTGAGACAAGGTCTGACTCTGTTGCCCAGGCTGGAGTGCAATGGTGTGATCTCGGCTCACTACAACCTCTGCCACCTGGGCTCAAACCATTCTCCCACCTCAGTCCCCCGGGGAGCTGGGACTACAAGTGTACGCCACCACGAATGACTAATTTTTGTATTTTTGGTGGAGATGGGCTTTCACCATGTTGCCCAGGGTGGTCTCAAACTCCTGGGCTCAAGCAATCCTTCTGCCTTGGCCTCCCAAAGTGCTAGGATTACAGGCGTGAGCCACTGCACCTGGCCCAGGGTCTTTCATATAATAGCCGCCTACTCCCCAACTCCCAGGCAGCCATCCTTTAAAAGCATCCTCAAACCACACTCCATATCCCAGCACTGGACTGGCCTCTTATACCTTTTAATCTTGCTGAAATCTCACACCATCCTCTATTCAATTTTTATTTTTTTTAGAGATGAGGAAAACGAGACTCAGAGAAGGTAAGTGATTTGCCAAAGGTCACATAAGCCATATGTAGAAGGTCAAGGCTAGAAGCATGGTTTTCTGTGTCCTCACTCCATAAGGGAGAACCCAACATACATGTAGCTCTGTTCCAGGCAGGCTCTCTGTTCTTCTGAATAAACATCCTTCCCTTCATCTTTAGTAATAGGCAAGGGTGTGATCTTCAATCCTACTCACCTGTTTAATAAGTCAATCAGTATCAAGGTCAGCCAATGGGACTGCTTTCCTTTCTCCTATTAAGCTCGAAAAGTTTGTTATAAATAGCCTGGACAGACAAGCATGGGAGAAAAAGGCAAGAACATCTGAGGTCAAGTGTAATGCCTTCAACTTTACAAAGGAGGATCCCAAGGCCCAGAGAAGGGACATGGAGTGTCCCAGGATGCTCAGCAACCTCATTCTGCAGCTGTGATCAAACTCAAGCCTCTTGCCTCCTGCCTCCTGCCCCCTGCCTCCTGCCCATAGCTCTTTCTAAATCTTAGGAACCCATTTACCCTGCTGTGTGGATCATACTTTGGGTAGTCTTTCTCTGAATAGGAGTAAATAATGAGTTAGGTACATTCTTATTCTAAAAAATGCCAGAGAAAGAAACTAACTCCTGAGAGAAAAACCCTCATTGAAAGGAAGAAAAATGATCACTGTTTATTGGATACTAAATGTTTTTACATGTTATCTTATTTAAACCTCATGGCAACTACGATTCTATAAGTGACACAGACTTAGAAAGTTGCCCCACATCACTTCTCTTGCAAGGACTGAATTGGGACTTGATTCCCCATCTGTCTGAGTCCATAACCTGTGTGTTAATCAATACTCAACAATGCCAGAAAGAAAAAGGTGCTCTCACTTTGGGCTGCATCTCTTTCTTCTCATTAGGAGTGGGGTGAGCATGGCACACAGAATCAAGAGGGAAGCATGATAAGGCCGAGGACAGCCCTGGAGTGGGGGTAGAAGACACAAGTTCAGGTCTTTACTCAGCCACAAACTTGCTGTGTGTGACTTGCGTAAGTGTCCCTGTGTGATAGGATGACATCTAAAGTTTCTTCCAGCTCTAACATTCTGAGATTGTTCTTCCTTAGAACATTACCCAGAGTTAAATATTTAAACTGTGACGTAGCTTAGATAGATGGACGGATGGATAGATAGATAGATAGATAGATAGATAGATAGATAGATAGATAGATAGATAGATATAGATAGATAGATAGCAGATACATAAACAGTAGCTGCATAAACAAACATGCATATAGATTCACAGGTGGCCATTCAGTCCCTATGTGTGCCAACCAGAAGTAATGCGTAAGTTCTCCCCCCATTCTTTTGCACAAATTGTATTTTTCCCTTTGTTCTTCTGGATATCTTCCTCCCTGCTGTTGGTTGGCAGTTGTGAAAGCAATTCCTGAACACTGTTTTAAGTCTTCAATTGTTTTTAGGTGTGGTCCAGGCAGAAGATTGTGAAGGAGAAAATTCCTGGGCTCTGCCTGACACAGAGCTAGAAAGAGCCAGCAGGGACTGCCTCAGTGGCGGGGGAGGGTGTGACCATTTTATTTGGTTTATGGTCTAAATCAGGACACTTTTGAAGTGAAGGAGGTGTGATTAGTAGTTAAGCTGGGACAACAGGTCAAAAATGGACCATTCTGTGCAAATCAGGACATATCTGTATGTAATAATTTCCACCATCAACCTGTATACAGCAAGTAAAAGAAACTGCTGTTTAAAACAAACAAATACAGATAGAAGTGAACTTTACTTGTTTCTGCCTGCTAGGGTGGGTGTGATATGATTTATGTGATTGAGAAACTCGACAACAAATACAACCATGTTATAAAGAAGACCGGCATTTCCAATCTTCTGCCATTTTTTTTTTTAATTTCTTTTTGAACTGCTGAGAAGAAGATTGCCATAGAGTAGAGTGGTGGGTCATTTGTTTGTGAGTGTCTTAATGAGTTTTTGAATATGCAAATTAAAACCGGGTGGAAGAAAAAACCTGGACAACCAAGTTACTCTGCCTAACAAGGAAAGGAATGAGTTTCTAAGGCAGCCCAGAGGAGGTGGGGAGGAGGATGGGAGAATGAAGAGGAGGGGAAAAGAACTCAATAACCTGGTTGGGGGTGGGGAGGCAGTAGCCTAGGGGGAAGCGTTTGGTCTATAGAGGGACCTGTTACTCCATCTCTTACTGTTGGTTTCCGTGCTGATCTCTAGTGTACCCCCTCTCCCTCTGCATCTCTTACCCCAATCCACCAGTAAAAGCCCTGGGCCAATGAAACTTTTGGGGAAATCAAGGACAAGGGTCTGGGTTTCATATTTGGGTTCATATGGAAAGGAGAGATTGAAACTGCCTTTGCAGCAATTACAAGAGTTAGAAAATGATGACAGTGAAAGAGATCTGACCTAACCAACTCCATCTTGCTTCTAACCTCCAAGCTGTCCTTGGTCATTCCTGGGCGTAGGCCAAACTGACTTTGGGAGGAACTTAGTTTATAGTTTAACTTTGAAACAAAAACGATAACAGCCCCTTCCAAAAACAAATCCCAGTCTTACGGGGGGACTAAACTGCTTTTGTAGGACTAACAAATTAGCCACGAGATTAGAAATTATGGTTTAGGAGTCATGCAGCTAGAGGCCACAAGATTCCAAGCCTCCCCAACTGCTCCTGGGGACAACATCGCTATTGTAAACCCTAAGGTTAGTGCTTGAGATATTTTTCAGATTCCGCACTAAATGGATCA